TAATTAATTGCCAAGAGTAACTAAACTATTTTCCTGGATTCCATGAGCCACTCTCACAAATTATTGAACCCAAGAAGGATGTCTCTCAGCCAAAGAGGAATACAATTATTCCACTTAGAGTAGTGGAGATAAGGGAGGGCTGACTATAAACATGGTGACATTCTAGAGGAGAACACAATAAAATGCCCAACATTTAACCAAGGTCCAATACTGATGTCATCCTGTCCCACCTGTACTGATAACCCAGTGGGGATGATTGGGTCACTTGGCCCCTTTTGAACAAAGCCATGGAGATAGGATCCCAGGAGGGTTAGCCACTACCCTAGAAGAGTCATCCTCAGAGGCCGGCCAGCCCCATCCTTCCCTAAGGAGAAACCCACCACCAAGGCTGTCAGACACCAGATATGGATATTGGGTGACTGTCACACACCCAATCCCCCACACAAAAAGACTATTTTCTTCCTTCGGAGTTTCAGGTAGAGGATGCAAATTGAGCAGTCCATATGGGTAAGGTAAGAAGGAGTAGGACAAAAAGCCTCTCCCTGCCCTTTACTCCTCTGGCTGCTTTAAAGGGTTACCTGAAGGGCTTTGGGGGACGGCATATTCCCCTGTCAGGATTCCTAAGCCCTAACAGTCCAAGAATGGAGGTGGTGGAAGTTGAACAGTTGAGAGCAATAGACAGTCTTTTGGAATCTCCTGCAGTGCTTTACTCCCTACGTAAGAAGATCCTGTGTTAATTCAGGAATACTCAGAGGTGAAGTAACTGGATTGTGAGCACTGTAACCAACCAGTCCATCCTAATCTGTATGAACTGACTGGGCAGTAACTGTAGGCAGGTGGGACATGGCTGGAGGAGGTTGGTCACTGGGGTCTAGTGACCCTAGAAGGGTCTTCTTCCCAGAGGCCCCTTCCTACTCTATTCACTCTCACACGTGTGTCTCCCCCCGCACCGTCTCTGTCTCCCTCCCCTTCTGCCATAAGTGGAGTAACTTCCCTCCACCACACCTTCCATCATGATGTTCTACCTCACCTTGGGCCCAAAGCAATGGACTTGATCCACCAGGGACTGAATCTGTGAAACCATGAGCCAAAATAGACTTTTTCTCCTCTAAGTTGTTCTTGACAGATATTTTGGTCGCAGGGATGCAAAGTCAAATAACACAAACACCAATCCCTGAATTAGCATGATTTATTCTTCATTCCTCTACTCTAATGTTCTAGTTCCTGGGTAATTGGTTCTCCATCCTTGGGACCGCATCCCTGGGAGAAGAGCTC